TAGCGGAGTCGCTGATGCGCTGCTCCTTGTGCTTCCCCGCCAGGTGTTGTCCCTCTGGCTTCCCATGTCCTGTGACCAGGAGGATTTCTTCAAAGAGTATCTCAAGATGATGGTGCACATTTTCGTTCTGAACTTGCTCATGTGCATCTCACTGGCCTTCTGGATCGTGTCCATGACTGCGAGTACGTACTACGGTGAGTCCGAAGGGCGGCACTTTTTTCCGGGCCAGCTGGGAGAGGGCTGTGCACAGCCCCTTCCATCGCCAGTGAGGCTAAAAACCTCAGCCCTGGCAGCACGGGAGAGTGCGCCAGCCGTCAGAGCGGTTTTAGGAATGTGTGTGTGCACGCTTTGAACAGGGCTTGCAGGAAGGATTCTTTGGTCAAGGCACAGAGGAACAGGGAAGGAAAGTGGTCCAAGAAGAGGGGGATGTGTGCGTGCAGTGTCTGGCACGGGTGTGTGCAGTCAGCTCTGTGTTCTGTTCAGGCACCTCAGGCAGGCTGCAGCGTACTTGTGCAGGGACACTAGTACTTTCTGTGGTCGGTCTTTTCAGTTCTTTTTTAGCAGCTTGCAAAAGCCTTCGTACTGCCTTCATTGTCAGTTCAAGCCTGGAAGAGTTTAACTCCTTTCCCAGGACATGTAAAGACCTGTCCTTAAGACCTCAGCCAGTTCCATGCAGGAAGAGCTTCAGTGCTCCTGAGAGTGTCTACGGTTGCCGTTAGAGCACCCTCAACTGCTTATTGTCACCTTCGATCCCGAAGAAGCTGGAATAAATATCCCACAAGTATAAACTAACTTTTGCAGTGGCAGTTGGGTGTCTCTGTGCAGTGTTTTTCAGTGCTTTGGGTTTTAGGGTGGGATATTAGTCCTAATACAGCGTTAAATCTGTGTTGTCAGGATGCTTCTACTTGCTTTGACTTGCAGTAAGGTGCCAGATACACAGAAGATATGCAGAGGCAGGCTTCACAGCCAGGTTTTGTTTGTGTTATTTACAGCTAGCCAAGTTGGATTTAAATACACAGCTTAATTAGTGTGTCTGGTCTCTACAGGTACAGCTCTCTGAGTTTGGCCTCTAATTAGTCTTTGCTATGTAATATGATTGAGAATTGACAGTACAGAGCGGAGCAGCCTGACAGCAGGTGACTTGGGCTAGGAACGGATACAAAGGGTGAGACTGCAGACAGATCCTCCTTTTTGTAGAGAATCATTATGGAACAAGAAGGAAATAAAACTTTTGTTGTCCCTTTCCCTAAGACTATCGAAAGACCTTGGCTTGAGGAGATGAGTAAAGAGTGTAGTAGCAGTGGTCTTAATTAAGTGGAAGAGATAAATAAGTTCAGCCCGTAAAAGTGACTAAATTCACAGCCCTTAACCATAAATACAAAAATACTGCAAATATGCATTTATTAATTTATAGTTCATAGTAATGCTTAGGCATCAAACAGTGATCAAAATGTTGATAAAATGAAAGTGTTAAAAATTTCATAATAAACAAATAAATGTGTTCTTAGTCTTAACTACTTCCATTTAGTAGAAATTTTGTATTTTCTTCCCTTCACCACCCCTCAAAGAAACACAAAAAAGTCAGTTTAAAAATAGCCATAAAAAGCTGAAAAGATGAAAATTCCATGTAACTCAGCCAACTAAAAAGAGCCCCTTTTTGTCCTGATACTGCTCATGCTCAAGTTAGCACCAAGCACCTTCTTGGTTTGCCATTAGCAATACCAAACTCTACAGCACTGGAGATTTCTTCATAAGCAGCTGGTGGTGCTTTTCTTCTGAGTTTTTGGGTCACCCCTTGGCTGTAAGACTCCCTTGCACACCTCCTACAGCACTGGGACTTTTCAGTACACAGAAGAGAAATTTTTGTCTTGTGAGTCTGTGCTTGCAATGACAAGTGTTTAACCGTGGAATATGTTTGTCCTACTTTTGCACCAGGGAGCCTGTATATCTGCAAAACTGTAGTATTGATGACACAAAAGTTCTTGTTGAAAACTATCATGTTTAACTTTCCAGCAAGACAAGCTGCTGTGCCTGTGAAATCTTCCTTTAATGAAACTGAGACCTAATTAACACTAGGCTTGTGATGTCTTGTACTTGTATAGCAGTTACAATAGCCTCCCATGATTTTGTATTTTGTATTTCAAAACCTACATTAACTAATAGCTTTACTTTATGCAAGTCTGTGGTGTTTTAAGCAAAAAAAGGTCACTTAATCTTTGAGGTAGTCATCAGGTTAAAGTATGTTTTCCAGAGCGTTATATCAAGTTCAAAAGAATTGAAGGGGCTGGTTTAGAAAGCAGCCACACCAATTTCACTTAGTAGACTGGCTTTCTTGTCATTTTCATGGTAGTGAAATTCAGTCAATAAGTAGTGTAGTTCAGGATATAAACAATAGCTTGTTTGTCTTTGCAAACATGGAAGACTTAAACTGTAGTATTAAGGAAGAATTTCTTCTCAGACTTTTAAATTTCGATATAATGTAAGATGTACTTTGGACATCCTTTGCAATGAGATTTGTGTCTTCCAATTTAAAGTTAAAATGACATGATAGAATATAAAGTTTGTAAGAATCTTCCTGCTCGGGTAGTAATTTATTGAGTCAGTATTATGATTAAAATAATATATATTCTAACTGGATAATAACAATTCTTATTAACTGCTTTTATTTTAATTAGTGTTCTGGAATTTTAGAAGGAAACAGGTATGTTGAGGACACAGATAAATTGTCTCCTTGGAAGATAAGCTGCTATCGACACTAGAGCTGTATGGAATGGTGTGGAATTATGACAACTGAGTGGGATATTGTTTTTCTGTTCTGCAAGCTTGTTTAAATTCAGATCGTAGTGACTTGAGTGACTAAACACAGGGAACAGACTGAGAATTTAGGAGAAAACTTTTTAGAAGGCTCTGTAGGTAGTGTGGTGAGAAAATAGCTTTATTTTTTTTTATGTTCAGATTTGTTTGTAAAAGTAAACCTTGTGTAGTTCTGACAGCCAGCATTGTATTGTTTGCGAGTTGTTCCAGTGGTCTGGCTTGGAAGTTTTCATTTAATAATTGTAAGTGAAGAATATCATTAAAAGCAATCCTTTTGTATAAAAAGTTTTGAGTTTGACTATTTTCCAGTTAAATACTTCGGAACATTCTAAATTGTGTTTGTTTTCTGTATAACAAGGAGGATTTGCATAGATGTTAATGTTAGACCTGAAATAATTTACTTCTCTTCAGTTCCCAAAATGGAGTATGCTTTCCAAATACAGAAGCCTTGATTACATAGAATTGTTTTCATATGAAAGCAAGAAATCAATAGATTTAAACCATGCAACTAATAAAAACCAATAAACTGCAAAAAACCAATAAACTGCAATCACATATTTGAATAGCTGTAACACAGGAACCTCATTTTAGAGTCATAGAACAGTTACAGCTGGAAGAGACTGTCAAGATAGAGTCCAGCCTTTGTCCCAGCCCTATGAACACCACTAAACCATGTCCCTCAGCACAACATCCACCCGTCTCTTAAACACCTCCAGGGATGGCGACTCAGCCACGTCCCTGGGCAGCCTGTTCCAATGCCTGACAACCCTCTCAGTAGAGAAATTCTTCCTAATATCCAACCTGAGCCTCCCCTGGTGCAAATTCAGGCCGTTTCCCCTCATCCTGTCCCTCGTCACTAGGGAGAACAGACCAACCCTCGCCTTGCTATGACCTCCTGTCAGGTTGTTGCAAAGAGCGATAAGGTCTCCCCTCAGTCTCCTTCTCCAGAAATTTCTGGTAGTTAATAACTGTAGTCTAAGAGAAGATAAGGTATTTAATAAAGGGGTTCTCATACCCAGTGTTCTTTCATCTGAGAACATCTCGAACCCTGGGTGGCACTGAGGTTGCCACTTCCTGAGAAGGAAAATGTCTTGCCAACAAAGCACTCACGCCTCACCATAGATGATTAACTCAACAAGGGGTTCAAAACTAATGCAGTGCTAATGCAGACTAGAAACAAGGAATGTGTCGGTACTTAACTGAAGGAATTCCAAAAGCTAGCGTGTCGCCGCATAATACTCCAATACCCCCTAAAATGAGAAGGGATGAGGTAAAGACAGAGACCCAGAGCACCACTTTGTGCAAAATTTGTGGACAACTTGCTGGCATGAAGTGACCCCTCAGCCCCATCCTTCTCCCACACTTATACAAACACCACACTGGGTGAAACATTTTACTTTGGTAGACAACTACCTAAAAGGAGGCTGTAGTGAGGCTGGTGCTGGTCTCTTCTCTCTAATTACTAATGACAGGACAAGGGGAAATGGCCTCAAGTTGCGTCAGGGTACGTTTAGATCCGATATTCGGAGGAAGTTCTTTACTGAACGAGTGGTGAGGCACTGGAACAGGCTGCCCAGGGAGGTGGTGGAGTCACCAACCCTGGAGGTGTTTAAAAAAACGTAGATCTAGCACTTGAGGCTATGGTGTAGTGGTTAGGTATGCTGGGATGAAGGTTGGACTAGATGATCTTCAGAGGTCCCTTCCAACCCCTAACATTCTGTGATTCTGTGATTCAACCGTCTGCTTTCTTAAATATCCAGACAGGTGAAGCCAGCCAGCTTTTGTTCAATTCTAGTACAAAAGTCAAGAATGAACTGCAAAGTGTCTCCCACTAGGCACTGCAGGAGATTGTCTCCGACAATTTTTTCACCAATACCGGTAGTTGAGTGGAAAGACATAAAATTTCCAGTTGAATCAGCTCTTGTACAATATATGAATGATTTGTTACCAGAAAGTAAGGGTGAAAATACCTTTATGGGGACACTGTACATTACGTGGACCAGTAAAAAAAGAGGAAGTTCAGAGCTGCCTTGTTAATTTTGCCACCCTTAAATTCATATGTACTGTTCACTTAGCAAATATGTAAATCTAAAATCCATACTTATGTGAAATCACACGGCAAAAATTAAGTAATGTGGCAGCTCTCTTTCAACTGCTGTCAGGGAAAAAAAGTCAGTGGAAAGGATTTCTGCTGTGAGACAGCAGGGCACATTATTTCATAGAAAAAGAAGGGTATCTTCTAGCTGAAATACCTGTTTTCAGTCCATGCTAAATATTCTGTGCCACCAAGAAAATAATTTTTTCTGCAAACATGTGCAAATGAAAAGAAATTCTTGTTACTCAACCTGTTAGGCTGTGCTGTTCTAGAAAAAATTATGAGAAAGTAACAGGGAGGATGGTGGAACAGAAGATCTGGAGAACTTGGTCTGGAGAATCCTCAGAGAAGAAAAAGTTCAGGGAGTAAATACATATTACAGGACATGAAATTGCTGGATGCAGCTTGCTTTTAAACAAGCCTCTGCGACCAGACCAAAGTGTGCAGTTAGTTAGGAATAAGAAGTTTAAATCATCTAATTCTGAGCTAGGCCAAATTTTTCTGTAGATTAGAGAAACGGACAGGATAAGGAGTACTGCACCACGTAACTTCAGGCTCACTTGAGAATAAATACTCAAACGTCCAACTTAGGTTATATGTTAAATGCAAAATTTATAGTGTATCTTGTTCTTTATTAAAAAACATGATTTTTGGGAACCCAGTGGCTTGCTGAAATAAGACAGATGTTTGGCTTGATCCAGTTTGGAAGTTCTCGTATTTTCAACTAAGCGTAGCATGGAAGCAGTCACAATGTTACAGATACCAACAAAAGAGGAATATATATATATTTATTGTAAAAGAAGGCCAAACATCTAAACTTCTTTTCTTGCATCAGTGTACAATATTAGCGGTGCTGTGATTAAACTGATGATTTATTCACAGACCGGTAGAAGGACAGAATCAGTGTGCAAAATAAATGTGTGTATGAACTGCGGGACTTCCTGCTAGTTTTATTAGATGATGTCAAGTGTCACTGTAGCTCAACTAAACACTTAAATATACTACGGAATATGTAAGTTTTCCAAACTAGAAGGAAAAGGATGTAGTAGTAATGTTAAAGCTATAGGAATAGAGCCAGCAGCTGGCTCCTGTGCATGCTGACAACTTTCCACAGAGACATGAAACAACTTCTGAGGTCTTCTGTCAACCATGTAGCAGCAGTCCTGTCAACATAGTGTAAAATTCTAACTGGTGGCATAGGCAGCAAAGTGATGACATTAGGCAAATCCTAAGAATAATTCAGAGCATGTAGATGATGAAAAATGTTGCCTGTTTTTCATAGCCAAAAGCTACCAAGCTAAAGTTTTTAATAAATAAGAATGACCTTTCCTAAAAATACTGGTATTTGGGATGGTTTGAAAAACATGGTAAAGCTTCCAGTGTATTGTTCTAATTTTCCTTTTATTACAATGCTAAAAAGCATTAGTGACCATAGACAGTGTTGTTCATTCTCTTTATTGCTGCTATATTTCCTGAAACTTCAAAAAAAAGAATCATAATATGAATTAGAAATTCAGATTTGTTGTTGTAGTTACTAGAGAATTGGCCATAACATGATCTATAAGAGCTCTTGTGCTAATTTACTTACTTAAAGTTGCTTTGTGGCATCTTTGCGTGTTTTGTTAACTGAAATTTTAGTTTGAATCTTATTTATATTTGAAATTAAATTCTACGTAAATTACTGTGTATGTATGAGTTGGGTGGTTTTGGTGTTTTTTTTTCCTAAAATCTGATCTTATCTGTTCTATCGAAATCATGTTTCAGCTGTTCTTAATTAACATTTTCAGTGTTAATTTTTGGAGTTTGTAAATCCTTTTAGAATGGAAAACATCACCATGTTTATTTCTTGACACATTTGCTATTTATTTGTAATTAATTTTAGGTAATTTAGTAGTGGGGTTTTTTCTGTGAAAGCTAAATGGGAAAACTGAGTAGGTAATTGCAGATAGTTTGAATTAAGAATATGTTTCTTCTAAAGGGTAGAAAGTATAATCTCTATTAAGATCAGATTTAAAATATGTACTAGAAGTTAAAGACTTCTAAGACATAAGGGCATTAAAAAGGCTGATAAGGATCAACTGCAATGATTTTATTTGATTTAGTAGGTACTTTACGACCAATTTCTCCATGGCGCTGGCTTTTTTCAATCTTGATTCCACTAGTGATTGCAACACGGGGTTTAAAGAAGAAGAGTCTTGATCACAGTGGTGCAGTGGGAGGTAAGTTTTTTTCTAAGACTATTCAGCTAAATAATTAATAAACTAAATTAACATCCTTTTTGTACGCATAATACTCTTTTAAGGCTTTCCTACCTAGTTCTGTTATAATAAAAGTATAAATGTAAGCTATATACGTTGAATTCATACTGTTGGGTTTTTTGTCCTGCCTGTTTAAATAGTCAAGCTAATTCTTCCCGTTGTTTCTAATTAATTTGATCAGTATTGTCATTAATTTTACATAAACCTGATTGTTTTAAACTGCAGTACAGCATGCAGTTAAATCACGTGTTTCTGTTTAACACAGAGATGGATTCATTTAGAGAGAACGAAATGGCAGAGGCAGTGGTAAAGAAATACCGTAAAACTGAGCCGTGTCAGCAGCCTGCCTGCCTGCCAGGAAACCAGTAAAGATAATGTGGTTCTCCTTTCTGCAGTACGAGCATTGTAGGCATTTTTTGCCTCTCAACAATAAGAAGAAAATGAAATTTGTACTTCAAGCAAATGACTGTTTCAACAAAGCTTTTCTTGAGCATGTGAGGAAAACCCTCATGTAGTGTACAGCTGTGTTCGCTGGAACACAATTTCCCTGTGAGGTGATTCACCCTCGTCGTAGGGCACGGTCTGAATTGATGGTCAATGGAAAGAAACGGGACCATAAACCCTGTCCTTTCATGTCACGCTCTCTGTCTGCAAGTTAAGAGGAGCGTTTTCTAAATTTAAAACAGAAATAAATTCTCTTCTGCTATGGTTTTACCTCTTAACAGCTCTGCTAGCCAGCCTGTATTGGGATTTGCTTTAATTGCAGCCAGTTTTCTTTCAGCCTTGAGGAACTGTAATCTCATGGTGGCCAGTGAGAATTAGACCTCTGCTGTGGAGGAGAAGATAAAAGCACATCTAGAAGCTCAAATACTTAAGAAAATTACAGAATGATAACGATGACATAAAAATCAGAAACAGAAAATGAAAAATAGAAATGAGAAGTAGCAGGTGTTAAGATATGGAGGAGGGTTACCCAGGTTATCTTTGAGGCCTAGGGGGAGGGATTTGATTCTCAAACTGTTGATAGAGACGCAGCCACAGCTGTATATCTGCTTCTTATACAAGTAATAATATTTTTTAGACAGAGTACTTTAAGTTAGATAACCTTTGGCTTTTTTTTATTGCTCTCTTTTTTCACACAGAATTAAATTATTTGTGGCAAGTGAAGGTCTTAAAATCACACACTTCAGCAGTAGGAATAAAATCAGCAATAAATTTTAAGAGAAAATTAGAAAGATAACTTTTTTTCGGTCAAGATGTCACTGGAATTCTAACACAGGTATTAGACACTTCAGTAGTTCTCTTATTGTATGATTGTCAGGCTTATCGTGAAAATACTCTTCATGTTCAAGAGACTCAAAATACTTCATTGCTTTGCAAAGCAGACATTGTTACATAAGGATCTTTATATAATTATTTTTTCTTTTATTCATAGGACTGGTGGTTGGATTTATCCTTACAGTTGCAAATTTCAGTTTCTTCACTTCCTTGTTCGTATTTTTTGTTACTTCTTCAAAGCTTACTAAATGGAAAAAAGATAGAAAGCGGCAGATAGATTCAGAATACAAAGAAGGTAAACCGTAACGCTTTAATTCTTTCAGATCCCTTGTTCATAATTAATCCTGTGTACTCCTCTTCTTTTCAAATGGTCAGATGAGATGTAACATCCAGAGTAGGGAACACATTGTTGTGCCTCCTCTCCACCCTCATCCCTATAAACATTAGCAAGCGACTCTAGCAATTTATTAAATAGAACATAAGCAGAAGCAATTTAGTTTCTGGTTTGGAAATCTGTCTTTTTTAATTTAACTTTATGTATGATTATTTTGATTTTTGTCTTGTGCTGTTGCCTGTCAAGGTATTTTGCCTGAAAATACTAAAATTTAGTTTTTGTCGCTTCAGGTGGACAGAGGAATTGGGTGCAAGTATTCTGTAATGGTGGAGTTCCTACTGAGCTGGCTATCTTATATATGATAGAAAATGGACCAGGTGAAATTCCTATTGACTTTTCAAAGCAGTACACAGCATCATGGATGTGCTTATCCCTTCTGGGAGCTTTGGCATGCTCTGCTGGTGATACCTGGGCGTCGGAGATAGGCAGTGTTATGAGTAGAAGCGAGCCAAGGTTGATAACAACCTGGAAAAAGGTTCCAGTAGGTAAGGTGTTACCTGTTCTACATGTTTGTAATATTTGGCTAATCTGTTTTGAATTATGAATTCAACTGGAAACATTCCAGAAAAAAACTCCCAGAAAAATCCAGGATTAGAAAATGTTATTGGGAATGCATTCTCTGAAATGAAATACACTCAGTTGTGTTTCTCCTGAGTCTCGTTGGTGAGATGCACTTATGTGGGTAGTGTGCAGGGAGCTAAAATCGTTCTTGGTGAATGCTGTCACTTGTCATCTCTTGTACTGTTAAAAGTGTTTATATTGCCAATAATATAAAGAATACGATTTATCAACTGAAATTCTCAGACATGAAAGTTTTAATCAGTAGGAAGAGTATGTATATTCAATATAGGCACTCCAAAAAATTAACTGCTTAACCAAATCACTCATTTCCTTTAATATCAAGGGTGGGTAAAGTGAACCTTCCATCTTTCAAACCGTGGTTACACAGTGGATGACTTTGCTGCCTTGAAGCAGAGTGGGTTTTTTGAGTCTTGCTGGCATATTGATCTGTGGTTTAGATCTTGGATTTAAATGCATGGGCATTTTCTTTTTCTTTTTATAAGCACTCTTCAGACTTTTATTCAATGAGCTGTGAAACATCCTCCTCTCTGTGGCTTTTGTTTTCTTTTGAATGTGTGGGTGATACATGCCTTGGTATACTTCTGAAAAAGGAATTGCTTTAATAAAATGCGTATCTCAAGCTCTATTTTTTGGAGAAAATCTTTTTTTTTCTTATCCCACCCCACATACCTTAGAGCAGACAAATAGCAGGTGATATTGAGAGGTCTGCTAACTGGTTTTATTTAACTTAATGCTAGTGAATTTCTAGATAACTAGCCTTAGAGATGGGAAAAGCAACAGTAATAGACTAATGGTACAAGTTAAGCTTCCCAGCAGCATAACAGGAATTGTAAATTAACGCTGTGGTAGCAGAGCTTTGAGGGGAAGCTCACTATGAGCACAACTTTGATTTCATATAAAACGTTTGAGCAAATACCTCTTTAAGAAAAAGTTGGTAAGTCAGCTTGGTTTTGTTTGATTTAGGTACTAATGGAGCAGTTACTTTGGTGGGCCTGCTCTCAAGTTTGCTTGGAGGCATGGCAGTAGGTACAGCCTACTTCATAACACAGCTCATTTTCGTGAGTGATCTGGAAGTATCTGCTCCGCAATGGCCCCTTATTGTGTTTGGTGCAGCAGCTGGTTTACTGGGATCAATTGTGGATTCATATTTGGGAGCTACGATGCAATACAGCGGTAAGATTATTCTATCTTTTTTTTTTTTTTCCCCCCTCCTCCTCACTCTCCTAATGTAACCTAAAAATGGACTTGAATTTCAAGAAAGGCTGAGGACATGATTTTTAAGTGGAAATAAATACAGATTTAGCAACACAAAGGACAAGGGGAGCCAAAGTGATGGACAGGATAATGAAAAAGAGCAAGGGCAATTGGTCCTTTTCCACATTTGTTTTGTTTATCTTATGTTACTGTCATGTTGATGACTGAAAGACACCAGAGATCTCCTTGGAAAAAGCAATTACTGCTCTCTCCTTTTCCATATATCTAACTATGGTAACATTTCATAAAAGCTTAATTTTACCCATTTACTCAGATGAAGATGGGCATTAAAAAGCTCCATTTCTAACTCTGAAGACTTAGCAATAGCCTCAGCTTTAAGAATGAAGTAAGAAAAGCTCCAGAAAAATGTGCACAATATTTTACATTCTGTTTTTTCACTGCTTAATAGAGTACAGTTTCCTATAAGTTTATCACAGACTGGCTGTGACTTTTGTTAAAAAAAACCCAAACATGTCCATTTAAAAAAAATTGTTGGCCAGCTGTTTCTAAATTATTTCAGTATTTATTTACTCATTGCCCTTAAGGATCGTTGTCTGTGAATAAACACTACAGAAAACCTTTATTCTAGACTGTAAACTTACCCTATATAAAATTGTTTAAAAAACATATTTGACACTATTCTGTTGAACAGCTGGTTTACAGAGAGGACTTAAATTTTTCAGATTTCACTATCAGTGTATTTTCTTATTGGAAGTTGAGGTTTGAATGACCTTGAGAGATAAGCCCTTGAAATGTACCACCAAAGCGAGATCTGCAAACTGTTGTTGATGCTGTGGATTCTCTTTCCAACAGTTTTAATGCTCTGTTCCTTGTAGTTCCAACCAAGTCCAAACTACAATGGGCCGTTTAACCATCTGAGGAATTTTTAGATACTTCTGTACTAAATAGGAAACGCTTAAGCCCTCAGAGCATGATTCGTGCTCCTAATGAAGCAGATGCATTAAAAGAATGTGGGAAACTTAGCTAACGCGTGCCCGCACTTATCAGCATCTTCTTCACTTCAGATGTTTTTGCATGCTCAGCAACTTACTTTGGGAGCTGTGGCAGAGACAGTATGCAAGCTCCACAATTTCTTTTACAAGTTCATAAGCACCACTGGAGTATGTATGCTATATACACATATATATGCTATGGTGTTTGTATATGCTGGGATATAGATGAAGTAGCGCTGCTCGTGTGGTGCGCGCTGTTGGGTTTTGTGCCCCTCCATACTATAACCGACTTTTCCAATCCCTGTTCGACATGTTCTTATAAGAAATACTCCAGTTTCTCTGCAGCAATAAACAAATATGGCAGTGGTAATCAAGAACTATGTACCTTTTTTTTTCTTTTTCTTTTTTTTTAAAAAACCTTATTCTACCACTAATTCCTTTTGTCCATGTTTTTCCTGTTGGTCATCTGCCTAGCTTTGGTTTATGTAATAGTCTGCGACACCCACTGCTTCTAAGAGAAAATCGTTACCTGCCCACACGTTAAATAAAACTTTGTCTGAATAGCTGCATTAGATTGAATAGCTGTATTAGATTCGATTTTTCCTGTGCTATCAGTCTGAAGCCACACCTGCTCTGTAAGTAGCACAAGTAATGGAAGGATTTACTGTTACTTTTCCTGCTTGTTTATGTTCCGAATCTACACTTTATGTGCATTTGAGGTATATATTTCTGAAAATGCATTTCTAGGTTTTTTTCTGAAGAAAACTTAGGACTTCCTAAAATGTAGCAAGGTTTAGGAGTTAAGTTGTCAGGCTTTGGAGCTGATTTTCCTGTAAGTCTTTTGCATTATTCAAAGCTAGACTTAAATGTATGATTCAAAGGTAAGAGTAATACCAGCTATATACCTGCCAAGCAAGTCTGTGATGTGGAGTTTTTTAAGTTTTGTCAGAGGTGCTTAAATATTTTTTTGTAATAAATTAGTGACTCAGAAGGAAATGGTGTGGGTTATTGGGAAATATTAAAATCTACAGAGAAAAATAACGTTAATATAAAATGTACAGATTTGTTCTGGAACGTTTCATCATGTCAAACTTTAATTTATGTATAAACCCATATCCAGTTATACTTCTCTGCAGTGTGAGTTGGCATTAAAATCAAGTGTGCCAGCATTTTATGCTTTCATCAGCATATAAAATAATGCAGCTGGAAAAAACAGGGTAGCAGTGTGTGTACAGAAACAGCTAATGAAACACAGTGCTGGAGTCCTGATAATAGAAGTAGAAAAAGAAATGGCTTAAGGACTAGGAAAAATATTCAGCCGCTGGTAGTGTAAAACTGTTGTGTAAATAGAAATTATAAGTCCCGCCTCTGTAAGGAGCTTGTTTTCTGCCTAAAGTTATTTCTGTAATTGTTCTTTGAAAACAAATGCATCTTGACAGAAAATATGTGTTGCTAATCAGTTGCTTCCGTTCTGTTCAAAACATCATCGTTTGCATTTGAATGGCTCCTGGAGCAGCTTTTACCCACTTCAGATGCAGCTTATTTCATTCCTTTCTTTGACATAAACTACATAAAGAGAAAAGTAGACCTGACAGAAGTGTTAACTTTCCCCAAGAAGTGACTTCTAATGTAAAGCGTTACATTTATATCCCATTCTTAGAAGTTACCAGGTTAAACTGCCTGTGATTTAGTGTAGTCTGATGATGTCTTTTCTTGGAGACATTTAACACCCTAATGGTAAGCTGTAATTTAGGAAGTTGCATACACTGACTTGGTTACTAAGTTTCTTTTTGGGCTTGGTTACCTTTTTAAAATGAAGTCTTTATTTTTTCCCAGGTTTTGACCAGAATATTGGCATGGTTGTCAACCACGAAACCATAGACTCCAAGCACATATCTGGAAAACCTATATTAGACAACAACGCAGTAAATCTTTTTTCATCAATAATCATTGCTTTGGTGCTTCCAGGCATGGCCTGGTATTTCTGGCCCAGGGGTTGAAACGGTTTCAGGTTTTCTGCATGTGATTGATTTATGTTCAGTCCTACTCAAAGACTCCAAAGTGTTCTCTTCGAAGAGAGGAGATCTGAAACTTTCAGAGAGCCAAAGGACTTTCCGTCTTAAGGCTGTAAGCTTTGTGTGGCAATTGGCATCTCTTGGGGCAAGGAAAGGCTTTTGTCAATACGCTCTTGCTGCTCTTCAGGTGGATGTAGATGGTAACCAGGTGAGGTGAAGCGCTTCATTTCCCTTCACAGAGCTGAAGGGTTGGTGTCTTACGTTCTCTCCAGTCCCCAGCATCTGGAAGGTCAAGAAACTGGAAACAGAAGTCTGGTCTGTATCTGTCAGCGTGATGGCACATTGTGGCTGTTCTCCAAGCCAGACACAAAGTACGCTGCAACTTTTTGTAGGCAGTGATGTGGATGAAATGGGTGAATTCTGGTATCTCCCATAATCGAGGGTATGTAAGGTTTTCTGGAAATATTTGCAGGGGCGAGTGATGATGAGAGTGCTAAACCTGTCTGTTCTGTATCGTGATCTCCACTTCCCTGAGAATAGAGTTGGCAAAAGTGATGCCACTACATAATGTCTGAAGCAAAAGACTAAATTTAAAATAATCATGCAACTACTTTTTCCAGTAAGAATAATAAACATTTGTGCTTTTTTGACATGTTTATTTCAAAACTAATGGTATTTATGAAGATTGTCACTATTGTGGTACGTACTAAATTATGTAAAATTAAAGATTACAGTTGTGAATTCACATTCATCTCTTCAGAAATAGAACATATTTTTCCTTCAGCATGGAATTGTTTCATCATGTTTAGCATTCTGACCAAACTATGCTCTTTGGTTCTTTCTCAGTAGTGAAAGTATGTCTCATTTTGTTTGGGGTTGCTATTCAGATATGACAGACTCAGCCAAAGAAGAGATTATCCTCGTACTGATTGGGGAAAGTCTCATTTATAAGCCATTTCAGAACGGGAATTTAATTTTTGTTGCTCAGGTTCCTATGTTAGGCGATTCAGTCTTCTATCATTAGCTTAAAAAAGAGTGGAAGTCATTTAGCCAGCACAGACTTTATTTAAACTGTAGAGATATCGTCATAATGATATGTCTCTATTCACATTCAGAAGGTAGGGCCCATACTACTAACTTATAAAAAGCTTTTTTATTTTGAGACATAGGTGAGTATTTTTTATTAAATATCTGATTAGGCTTTTTTAACAAAGTCTTGTGTATATTGCTTGTCTTAATTCACTGGAATTGTGTCTTATGTCACCTTTTATGGGAATATTCAAAAATCGTAACCCCTTCTATGTTGAGTTTTTACTCTTGAAATCTGGTCTGTATGAATCTGGAATTTGTCCCTGGAACTAGTCCACTCCATCCAATTATAAAGATGAGATTTCAAACTAGTAAAAGCTTTTTTAGAAGGACAATCTGTGTAGTTGCTGTATGTCTGTTCCTGTGGAAAGGCACAAAATTATAAGAGGAATATATGCACTTAAACTGCCACAATAAACGTCTGGAATTTTTATGCATTGTTTGGATTTATGCTGCTTCTGAATAAACACTGTATTAATTGTCTTTTACGGTGTTAATTCTGTTGTGATTTCTAGAATTAAGAAAGACGCAATTTTTGTAAGATACTTTTCATTTCAATTAAATGCTTTATATTTGTGTTCTTATTTTCTTAAAGTATACTTTCAAACACTCAAGTGGACATGCTCAGATTTATCACTATTGAATATGGGTCTCACTTGAAAACCAGCTTGCCTTAGTGAGAAGACATCTGTGATGTTAAATTCATAGCAACCTGAAATGATTTGGCCTGGTATCACATGAATGAGTGTGATCTGAGTGAACTCTTGCACGTAGGACCTTCAAAGTCCATTTTTCAGAATTTCTTATTTGTCATGTCTTAGGGGTGACACCAAGTTTCTTTTGAGATTCTCACTCATAAATATCCATTACTTAGGAACCTCATGAAGTTCGATAAGGACATCTAGGGAGGAACAATGCCAGGCACCAGTACAGATTAGGGGATGTCCTCCTGGAAAGCAGCCCCGTGGAGAAAGACCTGGGAGTCCTAGTGGACAGTGAATTGTCCCTGGGACAGCAATGTGCCCGTGTGGCCAAGAGGGCCAATGGGATCCTGGGGTGCATTGAGAAAAGTGTGTCCAGCAGATCTGGGGAGGTTCTCCTCCCCCCCTGCTCTGCCCTGGTGAGACCACACCTGGAATACTGTGTCCACTTTTGGGCTCCCCAGTTCAAGAGAGACAGGGACCTACTGGAGAGAGTCCAACAGAGAGCTATGAGGATGATTAAGGGACTATAAACAAAGACTGAGAGAACTGGGGCTGTTTAGCCTTGAAAAGAGAAGGCTGAGAGGAGACCTTATTAACGTATATAAATATCTGAGGGGTGGATGTCAAGAGGAAGGAGACAATCTCTTCTCAGTGGTGCCCAGTAATAGAACAAGAAAAAACGGGTATGAGTTAGAACATAGGAAGTTCCACCTCAACATGAGGAGAAGCTTCTTTACTGTGAGGGTGACAGAGCACTGGCACAGGCTGCCCAGAGAGGTTGTGGAGTCTCCTTCTCTGGAGACTTTCAAAACCCACCCAGACGTGTTCCTGTGTGACTGCCCTAGGGGATCCTGCTCTGGCAGGGGGGTGGGGTGGGTGGTCTTTAGAGGTGATCTTTAGAGGTCCCTGCCAACCCCTGACATTCTGTGATTCTATGATCTGAGCACTCTTGAACTCTAAAAAGGATGGCATTAATTCTGGCTACCTTATATTGCATGAAGTATAGCTTATGCAGATATTGTTACATTTAACTACTTAGTAGCTGTAAAACTGCCCTTTTTTTGTTGGGAGGGCAGTGCCAGGGAGGGGAAATAGGGGGTACAAGGAAGAAATTAGAGAATGGGACAAACTGCCTGTGGTGTGTATCACTAAGTTCCCGAGCTCAGAAGGGAGCAGACCCAGATGCCGCCTGCCCATGTGCTATGTGGAGAGATAAAAAATGCAGGAAGTAAAAGGGAAAGTGATAAGAAAAGGACCCAAGAGAAAACCAAGGAAAAAGGTAACAAATAGGTCACTGCAGTAAGAAATTTCATTCTTAAACACTCACATTTCTTTTGCTTCAGAGCCCTCAGTACCTTTAGTACA